CTCAACACACACACACATATAAATATATACATATATATATATATATATATATATGATATTTATTACTCCACCGTATACTTGGTGATTTGTTTGTCTGGTTTTATTTCTTTTATGGGCCACAATATTTCAATCGACAGGCCGCACAGCATTTACATTCTTTTCTGAGCCATATCGCTCAGCGCCTTTCATCAAAAACCGTCCTCATCCTTTGGCACCTCACCAGGAAGACGGGCTGCACCAACGGAAGCCAATACTGAAGCTAAATTCTTTTTGTCCTTATTCCAGATCATAGTCCGAAAACCGGAACTTTTCTAACAGCCAGTCCAAACACTTACAAGGAGATGGAAAGGTGTAGGCCAAAATGACAGAATCATTGGAGGCGGTATGGAGCGAATAATTCTTTTGTAGCAAGACTATTAACAATCAACAGCGCGACGACGACAACCTTGTAATTACTCACATGCTGATCCCATCAGACACGATTAATTCTTCCAAGACATCGGTGGTCCATGAAAGAAATTGCGCCATATTCGAGGTCGCATGAGAGCTCTTATTAGATGGCAATAAAATAAAATGGGGTATTTACGAAAAAGAGAGGAATGGGGTTTAAAATGCAAAATAATGTTAACAGGGAAGTGACACTGAATGAACGAGCTATGCCACGGCGTTCTAGCTTGAGTAAAATGACAGTTGTGTTATCTCTTATAGTTTTAGTGATTATATCCGTGAGAAGTAATTTGTGAAAGGAATTGAACAAGAGTAGTGTGCATGAATTGAGTTCCGTCTTCGATACTAACCTTATTATGGCCATCCACCGAATGCATAGAATTTTACCGACTGTTATACCTATGTTAGGTACTAGAAGTAGTAGTAGTAGTAGTAGCAGTAGTAGTATTAGTGATAAGTCACTAGGCATGTTCTTTAAGTGAAACTGGGGATGAACCAGCTGTATTCGGTTCGATTGCATGTAACAGTTTGTAGATGATCTTAGTTTCAATATGTTTCAGTACATCTGAGTAATGTGGAACTGACTTGGAGAATTTGGTGACTATGCAGTACATTCAGTATTGGTTTGGTCAACGCCTATCTTCAATCTCAAAAAATAAAGAGACAAAAATTGAGGTATAGTAAACACTTCAACGACTGATATTCTATCAGTTTCAATTTTTACAACCATTAACATTTTCATGAGCCGGGTTTGGTTGCTGTCGTTGAGTCGCCCATTTTGATAAAAGAGCAGTGTATTGACTTGATTGGAAAAATTAATCACGTCTGATGTTTTGCTCCGGTTCGGTTCGTTAACTGTGCACCCATGTGACCTATTACACAGATGACCTTCGAGTGTACTTTTCCCATCATCAGACCCCGATTCGGACCGACGACACTTTGTATTTTGTTGTCATTGTTCACATACCGCCTCTAAGCGTTCCTCGTCCCATTCTTTTGCGCGTCATCTACCCTTATTGTCCTTGAACTTTCGCTGTTCCACGCTTGCCATCCTCGTGCGTCATTGCATACGAACTACCCTGGATCCATTCCCCCACTCACGCTCATTGGTATCCCGTCCACTTTAGTTGACCTTCATACTTGAGCGTTCGAAACATTTGCTTCTCGAACTGCTTTGTTCCATAGGATCCGATAAATCGTCTGTGTGCCTTGCATTCACCAATGACTGCGCTTCATTATCGAGCACTTGCGATTGGTGATTCTATCCCTTAAATTGACCGGATTGGCCCACAATTTGAGGTATGGTGCTTGTTTTTGTACATATTTGCCTGCTTATAGTGCATGTAGATTACCGATTTCTCGTTATCTGGAATGGGACTTGGGGTTCCTATCTACGAGTCACTCAACCACTGGACGACAGTCCGGCACAAGCAAAATGAAAATTGGAATGTTAAGAGCAAATTCAAAGGGAAGATGCTCTATACGAAATTGATCATTGTTATGCCCGTTCTATCTTTCTTCCTAGACACAAACACATTTCTGACTACTCCTCACATCACAACAGATGATATTTCTCCTTAAACTTCCAGATGAAAGTTAATTCTGATGCCAGGTTTCGGACTAATTGGGCTCTAATAAAATGTCGACCCAAACAATGGGTCTAGATTTATGTGAATCCACTTTTTTCTTTGCAACTGTTCATGTTTCATTCGCGCGTAAGAAGATAATTTTACATAAATAACGTCGATCAACACAAATTCAGTTGCTCTGTTGAATAGTCACAGAAGATCAATGAATCTTCGCTCGCTCGTACTGAGAAATTCGTGGATTTGACAAGCACTCTTATTCCTACAGGGTTTTCAAGATGAACAATCTCACCACTTGATAGTTTTTGTTTGACGCTTGCGTAGCGAACGTTGTACAGTTTTTTTGTGGAAATAATGCAGAAAACGTTCAAGACACAATGACCATATTTCATGCAATCAGTTCCCACTGTTGGAAGAATTGAATGACGATAGTCTAGCAAAATATCGAAGCATATACCGTAGAATCTGGCTCCTAACGGATCCAAGCATCTGTCTCATTCAATCGCCCGTCATTTATTGGATTACATTGTGTGACAGATCTAGAAATGCCTTAAATCACAAACCCCACAAGAAGACGCATGGTTAATGATTATCCGAACTGAACTGAACTAAACTGAAACGTCTTTCATGTCTTGATTGGTCAAAAAGGTAGCCGTTTACTACGATTCGCTGAGACAGCTGCCATTTGATGTTTCAAACCATAATTGTGTAAGCAAATAAAATTCGTGGCTAATCTCGCGCTGCCATAGCAGATGTGATTTTCCTGTTCAATGATTACGCCCCCTTGCCCCTATGCCCATTCGGGATTCCGTTTTGTGACCTTAAACATCCGTATTGATTGCTTCCTCTTCCCCGTATGTATTTGCTTATCCACAAACCTGTCACTGTTTCAACCATAGGTGATCTGAATAGGTGTACACAGCTGATCAGATTACCAAGATATGGTTGAATTCAAGCCATCCTGAGATGCTGGTGCTTTTATCGCGTTCATATTACTGGTCACATTTTCCCAGGGGTGGTGTGCAAAGTACAAAATCAAACGAATTTCGTTGCTAAATATCAATCTAGTAAGACAGTGTAAAAGATTTGGTAAACCGAGTATAACGACAGAATTTGTCACATCTATTAAAGACACTCACCATGATACACAAAAGTGAATCGGTTTTCGAAATGACAGCACTAGAAAGAGGATTGACCAAGTTATTGAGGTCTGCGGGAGCTTTTCAAATAGCCTACTAAATGTTACAAGCCAAAACGTAATTAAGTTTGTGCTATCGTACTGGTCTTGAGGACAGGAGTTTATGAGGTCTTCNGGGAGGTTGCTTTGCTGAAATCTGGGTCTTCGCAAAAGGCGACAACTGAAATAACCTTGTCTTCCAATGGGATGTTTCCTGGTATTTTTTGAAGTTGGTTTGTTAATTCCTTTGTATCAAATTCTAACATCTTGAGCACATTTGATAATTTTTAACTTAGAGTTTTGATTCATAATGCAGCATATAGTTATAGTGCACATGAAATGGATTTGATGGATACGCTTGATTGTAAAATTGATAAATAAAAAAAATGTATCTGCATAAATGATTGAAAATGCTGTTCATTTGTTCGACAATTGTGCCGCATTACGTTAGGATTAAATTTCTATGCCTACCAGTGAGAACACGCACGTGAATATAAGTAGAAACATAAATGCCTAGATACTTAGATACCTAGAAATAAATACATACATACATACATACATACATACATACATACATACATACATACATACATACATACACATACATACATACATACATACATACATACATACATACATACATACATACATACATACATGCATACATACATACATATTTATCGGAGAATCTATTGATTTTTTCACTGAATTTATTGGAATTAAGGTGTCGAACTACACAATATCAAGATTTCATTCAAAGGAAATAATGTTTCACTCGAGTACCTTAACGCCTAAAGCTACCGATTCACCAAGATTGAGAATGATCTGATAAATCTTCTCTTTTTCCGACATTTTAGCCAGCATGGATATTAAAAATGCGGGCGTTAACCGAACAGGCAGCCACTACCAAGGACCTGTTAGAAATCAGTTTCTCGGATTCCATACTGAAAGAAAAGTTAAAATCGGGTATATCTGAGATGAAAACCGGTTGTGCAAACAATGGGACCTCGGGACTTCCACCAAGAACCAGTTTCATGAATATGGTGAAGTGAGTTTGGCAAATCCGTGGTTCAGGTCCTCAATCGCTTTTCCTCTCAGACCGTCCACTATTTTTGAACGGCCTTCTACCGGAGTGTTACGTTGCAATTCTTCCATGACTATGGCCGGTTCTATTGAACGCACTATTCGTAGTGGAAGAGCTATGCGCACCGGGGTGGCGACCGGACGAATGCGCACCGCAAAGGTGTCCCGTGGATGCACAGTAAGATTTCCTGATTTAATTTTTGTTTGAGCAAGAGCATGTACATACGCAAACTTAATTAACATTTCGGGGAGCCGACTCGAGATTACCCAATCTTGAACGATCATTGCGATGATTCTGTGTTATATTTTGTGGGTTGCGTGTCTCTAACACCAGTAAACTTGACTCCAGGATCGATTTTCGGGGATTTGGCGGTATGCTGGATATACATATCTATGATAGACATGAAGGATTTGATTTGATTAAATTGTGTAAATGAGGCACAAGCTGAAAAACTGGAAAGCACTGGACAGTTGTTTCAACCCAGTTGGGTCTCATCAGCAGTGTGAATCCATCGACCCAACCGGGGATAGAACACGGGACCCTAGGTCACAAATCTGGAACCACTGCGCACGGACAGGCCAAGAGGTGGCGATCGATAACGCAAAGACGGTATGGCGAGCTAATAAGAAGGGTTAGGGAGTGATTGATTCTCGGAGCTCTACACTGGATCCGTTAGATCAACCGGCACATAGAGATAGACAAACATTACGTCGCACTCACAAAACCCGTGATGATCAGTGTACTCATAGACGCATAAACAGCACACAGGCGCACGAAGAGACGGTAATCCCATGATCTCATTCATTTCATTGAATTTTGACAAGGAGTCCTAGTTTGGATCGAAAAGTTACAGTAAACAATTTACAAGTCAGTGCATGCCTCCATTCACTTATGAGATATATGTCTATCCCCAGTTGCGTGGATGGATTCGTACTGCTGATGAAATCCAATCAGGTCAAAACAACTGTCCAGTGCTTTTCAGCTTTTCAGCTCACGCCTCAGTTATAAGAAGGGTAAATGTATCGTTAAAATGGCTTCCTTTTTTAGAAGCGCTAACACAGTAACCATTGTCCGGTATTCTGAAAAGCCTGTCTGTTAGACTTCAATGTCCCGTCAAAAGCAACACAAAACAGACCAAACCTGTCACAAAGTAAACGACCGAATTCAACACAAAACCATTCTTGTTCATACTCAACCGCTATTCTTCATTTTTCATTTTTCCCCACACGTTATACAAAAGATTTAAAGTTTCAAAAATATTTGCGGAGTCTGTTCACCCATTCGTTTTACAAGCTAAGAAGTGCGTTGCAAGAGGAACATTGGAAATTGTTGCATTCGGAGCCACAAGGACCAAAGCTGTATGCTTGCATAGTTGCATTTGTAATAATTCAGCTGGTGGTCAGTGAATTGTCAACACAGACATTATTCAGCAGTTAAGTGAAACGCCCCCGGGGGTAATAACACTTCATCTGTTCTCTCAGATGGTAGCTACTATAACTTCAATAAGATGTCGTGTACAGAGTCGTTTTTTAACCGGACCAGGCTTTCGCACCTAGTGTATAAGAATACTTTTGTGTTGACAAAGATTTAAATTGACACTGTTTTCGAACCGCGCCTCGTCTCTTTGAACTCAAATGTTTGTTTCGTCAGGCTTCTATGCTCCAGGGTGAAAATGGCGAATTTATTCACGTGGCTAGGCTCAATTTGGCCAAATATGCCAAACGACCGGAAGTTGCCAAATGCCTATTTGAATATTTATACTACGTGGCCGAGGATGTCAGAAATGCGTTGAATTTGAGTAATTTTGTTACACAAAAATCTGAATGTTCGACTGAGATGGACAAGAAGAGATCCAACGAGGCGAAAATGATGAGCACTGATTCGGATCCATGGTGGAAGCTCCAACGAGCCAAATGTTTTGTACGGTTAGTGTTTTGCCCGAGTTTGTCATGTTCCACTACTCTATTGTCATTGGAATAACCCTGAAGACTGAAGAGACTGTATATAGATATGAGTATCATATAAGACTGAAGACTACTCGGTTTCCGAACTACACTGCGTTTGTGGAACATCTCACTTTGGTTCGTATAACCGGAAAACAAGAGAGAGTATAACCGGGGCGTAGCCGCTGGCCGAGATGGGGTATTGCTTCCGGGGCTGAGGCTACACGCATCACGTTGGCAGAGATTTATGTTACGCCACTTTCCAAACAAACTTCTTCAGCAAGCCGTGTTCACGCAGATCGCTAGTGGCTGAAATAAAGGTGCTTGTGTTCAACCAAAATGTTAATGTTTGAAAAACCTAACCGAGAGATTGGGTGAATAAAATTGGGTTGCACTTTTGATTGAGATTAAATTCACTAAATCTGCTCGACTTGTAATGGGAATAAGTTCGATGTTCCAGTTTTGGGTTGAACAGCCCAAAACCATGCCATTTCGTGTGGCGGTCTTGGTTACTATCTTTTGTAGGAGTAGATCGAAGCTTGGAATGTCTAAAACAGCCTCAGGGTGAAAATAGAGAATCCAAGTAGACTAGAGTTGCAAGAGCATTGAGCTGATCTACGAACACCACTGTTTCTGACACACTAACTGTTTCTAATCATTGGTTGCGCTCATCCTGAAGTTTAAAACGCTTCATTATTCCCACAGAACACATCGAAAACAACAGCGTAGCGAACAAGCTCGTTTTCAGTTATTCGTAATGATGCCATTACATAACATTAGATACGACCAACAGTAAGAACAAACGGCATGAAAGATTCCAGTCCTAATGGTTCATTTATGGCTCCAATCATGTGTGCATGTTTGCTTGTGTGTATTGATTCACAGTGTCAAAACTTCAAGTGATTGCACACATGTTGGAGTGGCTGAAGTGGGCCAGGGGAGTTTAAGTGCTTGCACAAATTTCTTTTGGGCGCATAAGGGGGTGGGGTGGGGGTTGTGAATCCAAATATTTACGGTTTCGGCCATGGCTCAGATGCGATGCTTCACTGCTCTTGATTGCCTGCATCGAAACCTGTAAATCGGTCGAAACGAGCTTGCCACGTCTACCGAGTGATTTGAATCAACGAGATGCGAACACACCGAGCTCGTAATTGTCTAAATTGTTCCAGTCCTCAGCCAAGCCGGGTGGTGTTCGCAAACGCGATCGGATAAGCGCTTGGTCGTGCGGTCAATGTACCCAGTTCCATAGGAACAGGTGGATGAGGATACACAGAATGAGGCTGCAGAATCTGGCACTCTGTCCTTCAGTCGGAAACACAATGGGTTTAGATATGAACACAGCCTTTAATTGTTCAGCGTAAATGTTCTGCTTACTGCACTTGTTAACCGAAACCGAGCTTGTTTACCAAGCCGTTGTTCTCATCCTGAAGTATCCATCCAGGAAGTCCAACGTGACCTAATTGAAGAAGTTTCCTGGTGGAAGCTTTCATTCTCTTATGTCAGGTCTTTCTTTGACCACTTTTTACCTAGTACATCCATTGTTGCCTGGGTGAACATCGAGCGCAGTGGCAATCTGTGATGACATGTGTAGCACATGCGCCAGTCAACGTGCTCTGCAGAGGGTGTCGTGGTCGGTAGTCTTCATGCATTTATCTTTTTGTTTAGCTGTATTATTTTATTGTAATCGACATAATCATTATTATTACGGCCTCATCCGGTAATCTTTTTCCACAGATTTTCTTACTTTGTCACCAAACCCATTGTATATCCTTCACCTGTCTCTCGACATTTTCACTACAGACATTTGTATATTGAAGAGTAGAATAAGTAAATCTCGTTATTTTTATTGTACACATCTGTGTGTTGAACAACAGACGGGGTAAACCACATTGTCACAAGGACCTGTTGTTCACTCCTGGAAACCGGCGATCTCGGGACTTGGAGTGGCTAACCATATAAGGCCCCGGTTAGTTAGGTGTGGTGTTGAGCCGGACGACAGTAAAGTTGTGTATAACAAATTGCTATTTTTCAGTTATTAAATTCGTTAACATTAACTGTTTTATATATCAGATGTGGATCTGTCAAAGCCCAAATAGTAATGGCGAAGTGTTGAATCGGATGACATCAAAGCTGTCTACGCAGAAGGTCGAGTGACGGTGGTGGAGTTTCAGCATTGACCCTTGAGGAAGGTGGTATTCTGTGGTATGCGGTTTCGTCCACTCAGCCGCCACCATCATCACAACCACCACACCACTGACGCATATACAAACCAGCCTAATACCGGAATAAAACAATATCAGACCTTAGAGAAGAAATAATTTGAATAAAAATGTATGGTATTTATCAAAATGAGATTAACGAATTAGTCAGCAGCTGCTTATTGCAGTTTGAACAGAGTGAAGCCAATCACAAAAGTGCTTCATTTTGACAATTTTATCTTTATGTAAATGACCAGTATATCATTGGGAGCTCTGTCGCTTCTTAATGAAATGATTCATCAGGGACTTTTCATTTGCAAACCATATAGGCTCGGTATGCTTCGTGAGGCCGAGACAGAATGTGCGGAAACCATTCGTTTGCAAACGGCCGCCGAAATCTACGTAATACTTGGCATTATTGCTTTACGCGCGGACCAGCCTCTGAGGGCGATCAAGCATTACGACGATGGACTAAAGCATTTCCCGGATGATATTGAACTCCTATCCCACAAAGCTCAAATATATGAGGTAAGCAGACGGTGGTGACTTTTCTTAAGTAAGTATTATAATGAACCCAATTACACGTTAGCTTCAATCGAAAAACTGTTTACACTGCGATAAATTGTTTTTTCGGATGTGTATTTTTTGCTGAACGAATGAATACAATGATGCAACTGTGAGGCTGAGATTGGTAAACACATTACAGTATTTTGGACAAAACTGGCTTTTAATTTCAATAAACAGTGAAATGGGTGCAAAACGAATGTGCGTTTACAAGTGATTAATAGAGATTCGAATTAGCGATATCGGTGGTAACTGTTTATAGAAATGTTTGAGGAATTAAGTGCAAATGTTTCAACCGAGAAAACAACAAATCAAACCCCTCAGTTTACAGGTGGTACCCGACAAGTTATGTATTGAATCCCATACAACCAGTCAAGGAATCGTTGCAATTGAGTTTTTCGTGGATAATACGATTCACACGCTGATCAGATAAAATAATAATGAAATAAGAACTCCATTTTTGCAGGACTAAGGGAAAAACGACTTATGTTCATAAAAACATGCGATCGGTTGTCTCAGAACACTTTGGATAAACAAGGAGGAGTTACGTTATTGTCGTTTGCTGGTTGCTGATAGTGGAATAATGGCGATAAACTTTGATTTTGTGTCAAAATGCGGAAGCATTTGCTTGGTGTTACAGGATACCATAGAGGACGTGATGGAAGGTTGTGAACAATAAAGCTCTCAAGTTTTCATACTTTCTACGTATCCTACTAGTTTTCATCAAAATGCCTTTCTAATCAATGAATATTTCCATGTATCACCTATCAATGGTTTCTGTCGGAAATAAGATAATTGTGACACCTGTTTTAAGTGGTCCAAGCATCATTACCATAGAGTGGTGATGCTCGGCTGGTGACATTTTGATTTTCATTTTATTCACAAGCTATCTGCAATATTCAGTTCATTCATTCAACGGCTTACTCAGCTAGCACTAAAGGTGAAATTTCCCTGGATTAGGATCATCAGTATTTTAAACAACGGACTCTTCATTTACCACCGTGACAACGAGCTCAAACCAGGACGGTTCAGAATTTATCAGTCACCTTTATTCGGATGCTGTCGTCAATAGCAGCCGACCATGATCGCTTCTATCAGGGACACCATATGTAGATATTTTGCTATTTGCAGTTGAATGCTTTCATCCAATCAGATCTTCGATTTTGGGGGCAGCTTCTCCAAATGTGCAGGTACCGCCTGTCTAATATTATGATAAAGTGGATAATTGTTTGCTTTTCATTTTGTGGTTACTTATACAGTGTAAGTAGTTAAGATTGGAACGCGTAATCTGCAGGGTCATATGCGCCCATGACAGACTTCGACCTGACTTCACCGGTTAACTTCATCTTGATTATCTGTGGGTAAGTTAAGGGTTTCGATGAAGTATCATTGGAGCTAACTTTGATTAAATCACACACCGTGTGTCGTTAGGACACTATAATTATAATCACAACCGGGCTTACAAACAGACATGTACAACACTGATGAGCTATTTACAAATAAGCTGGCAAACAAGTAGGCGAATAGGGGAAAACGAAATGCGAATTTTTAAAACGCAAACTGAACTGAACTGAAAGGAATTTAAGAATGCAATGCACACTGTTGATGATAAACCCCGAGGTGAACATGATGCTTTATGTATAACTCATGTAGTCGTTCAATAAAATGAATAATGATGAACGAATGCGTATGACATCAGTTTCGCGCCTATAATATGAAGCCTGTTTCGTGTCGAGCATTTTTGCAGTAACCTATATGTTTTGAACTCAAACATGCAGACTGTTATCGACATCCGTCGCAAAGGTCAATCACCAGAAGCGAGTACTGAATGAAGGCGGATGATTATTGGCATTTGTGCGTTTTCAATGTGAGGTCGCGGATATAAACTTCAACTTCAACTTCGTACATTTGTTTTTACCTATTACCTTGCAGTTCTACTTAAAATTGTACAATATATATTTCTTTATTCATCATAGTGCAATAAGATCGAATGACTGCCAGACGATTTTTTAATATTTTAAAAATTATTTTATTGAATACACACAGATACAATTTTCAGGTAGGAGGAGGTCAATCAATGGGCTGCAAAACAACACAAAGAATGGGTGAATTCGGACAATGGTACTGGAATTTGAGCAGTTTTCATTCGGGGAGATATTCCAATGACTTTAACGGCCTGATTCAGTCGCCCATGAAAACGGAAATCATGTTAGGCATTTTATAATCAGGCTGATCTACGGCTAGACACTTTGTGAAGTAGAATAGACCATAGTATACGCTATAAATATTCAATTTCAAATAAAAGTGTCGTAACTTCATATGAATTCACCAATCTCATTCTATTGGGAATCTCCACAATGTGATGGATACCTCGGCAGTCATACATCACTTATTGGACCGGGTTCATCACAACTCCCATCAAGTCACAATGAATTGATTTCTACACTGAAATAAATAAAATACTATTGTGAGTGGGTTTCTGAATGAGGATGACATTTTCGGTGAGGTAGGTAAGCTCTGACTCGTTGTTCCCCCCGGAACGTCATGCCACTGACCGTTCATCGATTGAGCTTTATGCAGAGAATCAATGAATCTGGTGGTTATTAACCTCGGTCGGATTAGTGAATCTGTCGCCGTGTTTAGGTGTGAGTGTTGACACGAATCATTCTATTTGCGAGTTTCATACTGGGCCCTAAATAACCTCATAAGCATGCTTTTTTGAGAGTTCCTAGAATTTCACTGCTTCACTGAAACCAATTGCGATTTTCTACATACCTTTAGCCTTAAAGAACGCAGTTGAAAAGATACTTGAGAACCGAACTTTTCTACCGAGAAAGAATTAGCAGTGGTATCTGAATAAAAATAACTAATTTCGAACTCATTTACTGCTCACCACAGATAAGATTTTTCAGTGTAATTCCCTGATTAATTGTTACATTCTATCTACAACGGCTTGAAACCTACATGTTCTGTCTTCATTACTCAGCCTCATCGATTGATAAAGTAATAAATAAATAGGACACTTGCATGCTATGCCGAAGTTAGGCGCATAGCAGCCAAGTAATGGCAACCAAAACCACCGCACGAAGGTGTATGGTCTATGGTTTGAAAAGTGAACTGAACTGACTTCACAAGAGATGCCTTCCTCCTCCTTCTCTTCTCCTGCTCCATCTCTTCCTTCTTCTCATCGTCATCATCTTTCACCACCACCACCTCCCTCTTCACTCACCTTGTTTTGATGTTTGATCCTAATCCGTGAACATCTGACAGACTCTGTTTCATCAAAGTGAGCAAATAAACGAGATCTTTCAGTCAACCACAACCATTTGATACGGATAATTTTTAATTCAAACCAATCCTTTAATCGACCTTAGCAAAATGGGATATCAGCTCAAGTTGCTGAGAGGTTGACGAGTGCAGAGTAATTTTGAATAGGCTGAAACAGTAAAACTTTGGAACTTGTGTGTCCAAATCTTTATTCGTTTTTTTTTTTCAGTTTAGCAAACCGTCTACACACACGAAGGACCAATAAAAATCGTCACCTCAAAGTGCACCAATTTATTGCATCCTTAATTTGCAGCTTTTACACATCATTCCGGTTAAATATACATGTTGGGCTTGAAAATAAAGGAAGAAAGGAAAACTTAAAATAAGCAGCACGTATTGTACTTCTCCGGACAGTTACGCCTTCCGTTGCACTGATTTTACCTATTCGTTGGGTCATATTTTCAGTCAATCTATGGGCGTGACGTGATGTGATACGTTCTCTTTTTTTGATCAGAATAGGGTTACATGTTTCAGCCTTGATATTTATTATTTGTTTTAGATGATAAAGTCGCCTATTCAGTTCATTTTTATCGCATCCCGTACGTGCAACGACCTTCTATCACCTTAGTTAGTGATTTGAACTACCGATATCCACTCTTGAGTTCCTAAAACTTCTGGTTATTTACCACGTGATTCTTCCGTCCAAATATTCCATGTGTAATGCGGACGGTACAAGAAGCTACGCAGATGTACACAGTTATGTTTAGTTTTCATGAGCACTTCGGTTCGATTTTATAGTATACGTTTTAGCGCATAAATATATGTGCCAAGTTCACCTGAGATTAGCAATAACGGTGATTCCCAATTATGTGATGGATTTGAACACGAAGAAAATACCGTGAGAATTTGTCAAGCTACAAATGACTAACTGGCATCGTACGGTAGAATTAAAGTAACTGCATCTACTTGATTCTTCATGTATGCCTGAGTGATACAGTGACACCGTCAATATTTGAGCTTTGTAAATCACAAACTGGATTGTTAATGCGTGGTTATAGTACGTTCGAGGTTCATCCCTCAAGAAAAATGTGGCAAAACCCGCCTTTATTCGATTCACAGTTAGAGTGGGATAAGCCCGACTCTTGGAAAGAAACATTTAACACTCTACCAGTTAAGTAAATCCATAATGCTTACCTGAGTACTCTGTATCAGACAGTCTGACCATTGAAAGCATGTAAATATCACTGTTCTGTCGCTAAATGTTTCGTACACATAGGCGTTCAGCATTCTTGAATAGCTGGAATAATCTCAGCATATCTATGACTACCTGGTTGTGTATTCTTACTTTCTATTTATTTGTTATTTAGGCCGAACACCTTAGTGGAGTGGTATCTTTTTTCATTTCAACACAAATACATCGCCATGGGCGGAAAAACAAGTGGTCTCCACCTAAATTGTCATTGAAACACAATTCAGTACAAATGCACATTGTCGTGCTTGACACGCGTGTAAATCATGATCTCATCATCCCATGTAATGGCAATTTCTTAGCCTGAATCTTATCTAATGGTTTCTTCCAATGCATTTATCCTAAGATGCTTTGGTTTTCTATTCCCGCGCAGGAGTTCAACCAGCTGTTCTCCTCCATTGCTCTCTATCGAGAAGTGGCTCGATTGGATCCGGGCAATTTCGAAGCGTTGGCCTCCCTGGGCGCCTATTATTTTCACGATGAACAACCTGAAGTGGCGCTTCTATTTTACAAGTAACTGTTGGGACCAATATTCTGTTCATGGTTTGATTTTGTAATGCATAACAACCGTCCAGTTTCTGTTCAGGAAGGGACTTGTGTTGTCGGTTTTGGTAATTAAAACGATATACAGGGCCGTTTATGCAAGAGTGCTGTAATACCAGAAAAATATTAAGTTAAAAGTTGCTTTCTCGCTCACAGTAAGACAATGTCTTAGTGAGTTACAATGAAAATTTGGTGGGAAAGTATTTCATAGAACGGAAGATAGCCTAAAAGGTAAATAGTCAGTAGTATATTATAATAATTCATGGACATGTGCCCTGCAATTCAACGAAAACAATAAATTGTGACGCGAGTGTTCTAGCAGGATAAAGCGCATTTGAATTTCTGTAGGCTTATAAATGATGTTTTATAATATTGTCAGTAACCCAGGAAAAAATTAACCCTGAATAAAAAACCCTGAAGAGGGGCTAATTTGTTAAAAAGACTTTTACTTAGTT